AACTTGTTGTTGATGATTGAAGAGGTACAAATAACACAAAGTTTTATTTTATGTTTTATAATGAACAACAAGTTGATATATTATGCTAAAGTAAACAAAAACAAAATTTGTAATGTGTCATACATAGATACGAACTTGTTATCAACTTGTGTTTAATAAGTATGAGCAGTAGAGCTCTAAGACTTGGAAAAACAGAAGCCTACTCTAGATTCATGCTTCGTAGGCTATAGAAGACACAAATACTTGTCTTCTTCCCTCATATTGATAGATTTGAGCAACGTATCATATCTTTTGTACATATGTCAATATTTTTTGACGCCTCTGAGAGCTAATAATAATATATTCTCAACCAAGCAGACTTTGAAAATGTTTTTGAAGAAACATTAAGTTTTGTGCAAGTAAATATTGGATCATATATCGTCAATAAATTGAAGTAGAAACCTTCATTACAAAGAACTGTACGAAAAATCTGAACTAGATTAACTAGACTCTGCCAAAATTTTTCATCTTTGACGACTCATTTTACATGTCTATTAAACATTTTCAACAGCAAAAGAAGTTCACAATACAACATCTTTTTCTTTTTGTGAAATATTTCTGTTTTGCCATTAAAATTTTTTTCCGATAAAGAAGATCAGAATCTCATCTTTCGAAGATCGCATTCCGATGAACATCAAGATTTGCAGGTTTTTTATGCAAGTTACAAAGTTTTTTTCTGATCTTCACCATTGTCACACGTTACAAAATGTAAGTTCGATAGAATAGACACAAACCGTATTTCATCTAGGTGGCATTGAAAAATTTGTCTTCTCTCATTTTTAACTTCTATTTATTGAAGCTTTGAAAAAAGAAAATACTTGAAAAAATTGTTCAATCAAATATATGTTTTCTAGATTAATCTAGAGCTGTATTATATAGTAGAAAAAAAAAGCACTATATTCTTTATATTAGTTTGGCAAATAAAAAAAGAAGAATGTTAATCAAGAAAATTGAATATTGATTGATTGATTTAGATCTTGGTGTTGAGTTAACAGGTCCGTCTCCGCCGATTAATGTAAAATTAGCTCGTAAATTACCAACAGTTACAATAAAAAGACCGGGTTCAGTCTGACGAGTTAAATCAATACCAATGAATGATAAATCATGACGATTAAGAGTAAACTGAACTGCTTTTTGTTCACCAGCTTGTAATGATAATTTAGTATAACCTTTTAATTCTTTATTTGGTGGTGTAATGGATCGATAAAGATCAGAAATATATAAAAGTACGGTATGATCACTTTGTCTTGAACCACTATTACGTACACTTAATGTAATAATTAATTGATCATTCCAATTCAATGTTGGTGGAACATTAAGATTTGAATAATCAAATGTTGTATAACTTAAACCATGTCCAAATTCAAATTCTACATCAATATAATTACCAAAATCTGCTTCAGACCATTTATAATCATATGTTGATAAATGATGATTATATTTTGGATAAGTTATTGGTAATCGTCCACTTGGATTGTAATCACCAAATAGAACATCAACAAGTGCTTGACCACTATCCAAAAACAAACAAAAAGAAACAATCACAATTATAAAACTTTAAAAAGTATATTCTATACATACCCTTCCATA